GCCGTGTCTAGGTTCCAGGAACAACAGGTCCATATGTTCTCATGCTGGTCTAAGGAAGGCTCAGCCTGACTGCTTGTTTACTACTCAGTTCTGCTCTCTGCTTTGGCAGCCCCACCTGGCTGGAAGAAGCCACATTCTGCCTCTGGACCTCCACAATCCCCTGGCTCTGACAGGTGGCCCTTGCTCATAGGGACTATCATCATTTGTTATGTGAGTGGTAGTTTAGAAATTTTGGTGTAAATGTGGAATAATAACAATAGCTGACACATACTGAATTCTTACTGTGTGCCAGTCACTGTTCCATTCGTATGTGGTAATTATTTTAATCTTGAAAAAAATCTCATGAGATGGGTTTCATTAATACCACCTTACAGACACGAATATTAAGATGCAGAACCAATTTTATTTTTTATATTTTTTAATAATCCTCACACAAGGATATGTTTATTGATTTTAGGGAAAGAGGAAAGGGGGAGAGAAACATCCACGTGAGACAAACATCAGTTGGTTGTTTCCCATATGCACCCCAACCAGGGTTCGAACCTGTAGCCTTTTGGTGTATGGGACGATGCTCCAACCAGTTGAGCCACCCTGCCAGGGCAAGACCCAGAAGCGATTTTAATAACTTACCCAGGGCAACACAATTAGTAGATACCGATTGTCAACTGTTCCAAAAATGGTTAATATGCAAGGATGCAAGTACTTGCTATGTAAGGACAATGATAATCTAGAGACTGTTAGAAAATGTATATTTACATGCTGAGTATTTTGTTCTGGGAGGTTGGAAGTGAATAATATTTGGAGAAAAATAAGCGTCATTCCCTGACAATTAGTGTCAGGAAATGAGACCTTGCCTTTGGTTCCATAGTTTCTCTGGCAGCCAAACTGTCTGTTAATTGAAAATGTATCTGGGAAGACAGCCTCAAGGGCATAGGGGGTGATGGTTTATCCTATTTTAAAAAAAGATAGGGAAACCTTTCTAAATAGAATTCTCAGGAATATATATATTTAGGGAAAAAGATTTTTAACAATCCATTAGAAAAAGCAAGGTTTTTTGGTTTTTTACTTGTTTGTTTCTAAAATTTCCAGGGTACTGCAGGTTTTAGTATTTTCTTTTGTCACATAGCTTAGAAAGGTAAAACCTGCCCTATACCCAGCTAAGAATGAGAGGGTAAATGGGAAAGAATTATGTTTTTTTGGAGCTGAAATTGAAACTCTTCTGTTTTTGTTTCATTTGATAGGAAAACAGAAATCAGTTGTTTTTGTGTTTTTTTTTTTTTCAGTAAACAACATTGCTTGTTCATTTTCCCCTTTGAGATGTATATTTCCTTCCTACCATCATTCTTTATCTCATTCCTGGATAATAATACTTTCAACTAGTTTTGGGGTTTTTTTTTCTCCATCCTAACCATATCAATAAATTAAATTAAAACATCAATTTTATTCTGACATTTTCCAGCTTTTACAATCCTGATTTCTATGTAACATTTCTTTAAAATTGGATATTGTTTTAGAAGCAAAAATCTTTGTTTAGCCCTGGCTGGTATGGCTCAGTGGCTTGAACACCAACCTGCAAATCAAAGGGTCACAGGTTTGATTTCCAGTCAGGGCACATGCCTGGGTTGCAGGCCAGGTCCCCAGTAGGGAATATGTGAGAGGCAATCACACATTGACGTTTCTCTTCTTTCTTTCTCCCTCCCTTCCTCGCTCTCTAAAAATAAGTAAATAAAATCTTCTTAAACAAAATATTCTAAAAAAAACTTCGTTTAAACACTTTAAGCTTCAACAACCTCTGTCTACCTACTTTGTATAAAGATAGATAGATATTCAGAGTATGTATCTATATACCCACACACTTGCAAGCGTACATACACCAAAATCCAGTCATGGCTAAATTAAGCAGAAGGAAATATATTAGATTGGCTGAAGTTTTATAAAGAACCCACAGGAGGGTAGAAACTTCAAAGCATCTTAAGGCCCTGGAAACAGGAACCATGACAGTGGTCCTTTAGCAGAGGTAATCTTAGCTTTTCACCTGCTAGGATGGAATAGTTGCAATCAATTTTAGTATGTTTATTACTTCAGTCAAGATCAGTTCCAGAGGAGCATCTGCTTGCCCTTGCTTGCCCTGCCTGCCCACCCCTGGTTGACAGTCAAGGGTCTGTTTCTAATTTAGAGTTGTTTTTTTTTTTTGTCAAATTTAACATTGCGCATTGGATTGAAGAAATGTTGAATTCCAAGGAGCAATGCAAATTATTTTATATTGTGGTTAAAACCCCATTCATGACAACAGAAGGGAGAATAGGATTTCTCTCTCCATTTGTGGCTAGAAGAAACAACCATGTCCCAACAGGGACAGGCCCACAAAACAGGCATGTGCCCTGACCAGGAATCGAACCTGTGACATTTCGGTTTGCCAGATAATGCTCAACCAACTGAGCCACACGGGTTAGGACAACACTGGGTATTTCAAAGAACATTTGTATCATACTTAGCCACTGTTTTTTACCCTCAGCTACTCTAATTTTGTGTCATTAATGGTAAATTGTTAGATGGTTGTGTGCCCTTTCATGTTGTGGTATACAATATATATGATAGTATATACCTATATATTAGTAAATGAGTACATATGTATATAAAGATAGGTAGGTAGATTTATAAACACTAATGGTTTTTACATGGCGAAATTTTTGATTTTTGCATTTTTATTCTAATACATCACCACTCCTGGGTCTCTTAGTCTGAGAAACATAACATTAGTTTCTTGGTATTGAATATGCCTCTAAAATGGAATAATTATTAAAATGTAGAGTAAAAACTCCATCAAGTTATCATGGAAGGACAAATTACCTTTCTATTTCACTCCACTAATCACAGTTGGGGAAATTATAGGAGATGCTGAAATAGAATTCTGACACTGGGCATTGTGCCCTTACCTGAGAAACTAGAGGCTATTTTTCTGCCAGGAAGACATCTGGTTTCTGGAAACCATGTGTGTCTTTCCTTCACCCCAGCTGATCTAAATACTGATAGAACTCACACCACGCAGTAATGATTTGGTGTGACACTAGTGATAGATAGACTTCTTTCAGAGTCGTCTTTATAGCTTGTGGCTGTTCTGAAATTATCCTTTTTTCTACTTTTTTAAAATTATTGAATAAGTACTTCTAAGAGAAAATAAATGCAAGAGGAAAAGCCAAAGTATATGTAGTAAATTTGTAAGTATAAAGTTTGTATTCCCTTTGACTTCAATTTGCCTAAAATCATAATCATAAGTTGAAAATGTATACTGGAAAGTTCGTTTCAGTATGTGTTGGTGAACATATCTTAGTGAATTTGGGAATGACCTAAATTTGTAGCAGTAGAGTACCAACTTGGTAAAGTGTGTGTGTGTGTGTGTGTGTGTACAAATATTACTGAGCTCTTATAAATGCTAATGGTATAGTTTTATATATTTATTATTGGCAAGAATATTTACCATGGAATAATGTTTATAGCATATTGTTGACTGAAAAACAAATTGCAGAACAGCATTTATATGTTCTATTTATATGAAATTGTATACTCATTTCTCTCTCTCTTTTTTTTTTTAGGATTTTATTTTTTTAGAGAGGGGAAGGGAGGGAGAAAGAGGGAGAGAAAAACATCAATGTGTGGTTGTCTTTCATGCACCCTGTACTGGGGACCTGGCCCGCAACCCAGGCATGTGCCCTAGACTGGGAATTGAACCAGCGACTCTTTGATTTGCAGGCGGGCACTCAACCACTGATCCACACCAGCCAGGGCTTGTATACTCATTTCTGTGTATTTATTTATTCATGGAGTGGTGTCTGGAAATGTGTTTTAAAAGGAGTTATCTCTAGGGGACAGATTTGGAGATTTCCTTCCTTGTCGATAGCCCATACTGGGAGCCAAGGCAATGATGTTAAAATTTATCCCTTTTAGTGATTTTTATATATTAATCATTTTTAAGAATTTTTAATATTTGTTAACAATAATGATGGTTCTTGAATTTCATTCCTAGTTGTTTTTATGTTACTGAGCCTGTGGGACGTGAAGATCACATTTGGTTTTTTGACTATACTAGCCTCAAATATTTTAGTGTTTTAATTATGCCCTTAGCTTACATTTCTTTTCTTTTTTTTTTTAATTGTTATTCAAGTACAGTTGTCTCCATTTTCCCCCCTCCACTCCTCCCCACCCCACACATCCCCACCTCCTACCCTTGTTCCTACCCCACTTTGGCTTCGTCCATGTGTCCTTTCATATATGTTCCTTGATGACCCTTTCCTCCCCCACCCGTTATCCCCTTCCCCTTCCTTCTAGTTACTGTCAGTTTGTTATTCAATCTCTCGGGTTATATTTTGCTTGCTTGTTTGTTTTGTTGATTAGGTTCCATTTATAGGGGAAATCATATGGTATTTGTCTTTCACCACCTGGCTTATTTCATTTAGCATAATGCTCTCCAGTTCCATTCATGCTGTTGCGAGGGGTAAGCACTGCTTTCTTTCTGCTGCATAGTATTCCACTGTGTAAATGTACCACAGATTTTTGATCCACTCATTACTAATGGGCACTTAAGTTGCTTCCAGCACTTGGCTATTGTAAATTGTGCTGCTATGAACATTGGGGTGCATAGGTCCTTTTGGATTGGTGTTTCAGGATTCTTAGGGTATAATCTCCAGAAAGGGAATTTGTGGGTCACAAATCAGTTCCATTTTTAGTTTTCTGAGGAAATTCCATACTGTTTTCTATAGTGGTTGCACCAGTCTGCAATCCCACCAACAGTGCACTAGGGTTCCCTTTTCTCCTTTAGCTTATGTTTTATTAGCATCTCTACCTTAGCTTATATGTTTAAGGATAGGCGCTGTATTTGTTCAAGTTTTATCATATATCACCTGATATAGCATGTCCTGGAATTAAACATCTTTTTTTAAATCCTTAAATGTGAAATATATTTCTACTACATTGTGTAACAAATCATTTTCTACTCTATTCAGGTGTAGAGTTTGGTGCTCGAATGATAACTATTGATGGGAAACAAATAAAACTTCAGATATGGGATACGGTAAGTATAGCAAACATACATTGTGTGACCTCAGTAAAGTTTTTTTTATAAAGTCCGATGTATGTTTTTGTTTCCATGTTATTTTATACCTGTTACAGTTTGTTAAACACTTAACACCTATAGACAGGAGATGGAATGTTGTTCCAGAGAAGATTAGTTTCTCTTATGCAGTGTTTTCAACAGGTGTACCCTGTCTATTAGATGTTGGTGAACATATCTGAGTGAATGCTAAGGCTGTGGTCTAAACGTAAATATTACAGAAACTATGTTTTTAAGAAAAACAAGCATTATGTCTGAAGTTATACATGTGAAGTAAAATATGAATGTCAATATCTTAGAGTCTTGATTGGACAGTTTATTAACTTGTTTCAAAAATTTGATTTAGTCTCAACCACTTGAAGCCACCTTGCTTTAAGTCCTAATTCTATCATTTATGTTCATTGAGTGTCTATTACATACTCTATAATTATTTTTTAACTTTTTATTGAATTTATTGCTGACATCGGTTAATAAAATTGTATAGATTTTGCCCTGACTGGTGTAGCTCAGTGGGTTGGGTGTCATCCTGCAAACCTAAAGGATGCCAGTTCAGTTTTCCATCAGGGCACATTCCTGGGTTGCAGGCCAGGTCTCCAGTTGGGGCATGCAATTGGCAAGTGATTGATGTTTCTCTCCCTCTTCGTCTCCCTCCCACCCCTCTCTCTGAAAATAAGTAAATAAAATCTTTCTTTAAAAAATTCTTTTAAAAGCATATAGGTTTTAAGTATATAGTTCTATAATGTGTCATCTGTGTATTGTCTTGTGTTCACCATCCCAAAGTCAAGTCTCCTTCCATTACCATTTATCCTCCCTTTACCCGCTTCTACCTTCCCACAACCCCTTTTTCACTCTGGTAATCACTGTACTATTGTCTGTGTCTGAGGGTTTTTTTTTTTTCCTCCTTGCTTAATCCCTTCACCTTTTTCACCCAGCCCTCCCAGCCTTTCCCCTCTGACAGCTGTCAGTCTATTCTCTGTGTCTATGAGTCTCTTTCTGTTATGTTAGATTATTTTGTTTATTAGATTCCACATTTGAGTGAAATCATTTGGTACTTGCCTTTCTCCAACTGGCTTATTTTACTTAGCATAATACTATCCAGGTGCATCCACACTCTCACAAAAAGTAAGATTTTCTTCATTGTGGCTAAGTAGTATTCCATTGTCTAAACATAACACAGCTTTTTTGTCCACTCATCTACTGATGGGCACTTGGACTGCTTTCAAATCTTGGCTATTGTAAATAATGCTTCAACAAATGTTGGGGTGCATATATTCTTTCAAAATAGTGTTTTGGGTTTCTTTGGACATATTCCCAGGAGTAGAATCACTGGGTCTTAAAGCAGTTTCATTTTTAATTGTTTGAGGTAACTCCATACTGCTTCTCACACTGGCTGCATCAATCCTGCATTCCCACCAACAGTGCATGAGGGTTTCCTGTTCTCCACATCCTCACCAACACTTGTTTGTTAATTTATTGATGATGGCCACTCTGACAGGTGTGAGATGGTATCTCATTGTGGTTTTAATTTGCATTTATCTGATGATCAGTGACATTGAGCATCTTTTCATATGTCTGTTGGCCATCTGTATGTCCTCTTGGAGAACTGTCTGTTTAGGTCCTTTCCTGTTTTTTAATTGGGTTGTTTGTTTGTTTTTAGTATTGAGTTGTATTTTCTTTATAAATTTTGGATATTAACCCCTTATAAGATGTATCATTAGCAAATATGTTCTCCCATTCAGTGGGTTGTCTTTTCATTTTGTTGATGGTTTCCTTTGCTGTGCAAAACCTTTTTAGTTTGATGAAGCTTCGTTTGTTTATTTTTTCTTTTGTTTCCCTTGCCTGAGGCTATGTATCAGGAAAAAGTATTACTACAAGAAATGTACAAGATTTTACTGCCTGTGTTTTCTTCTAGGATTTTTATGGTTTCGAGTCTAACATTTAAATCTTTAACCTGGTTTATTTTCTGTATGGTGTAAGAAGGTGATCTAGTTTCTTTCATGTATCTGTCCATCTATTCAACACCATTTATTGAATAGACTATCTACCCTACTGTATGTTTTTGCCTCCTTTTCAAATATTAATTGACCATAAAGGTATGGGTTTATTTCTGGGCTCTCTATTCTGTTCCATTGATGTACATGTCTGTTTTTATGCCCATACCATGCTGTTTAATTAAATATGGCCTTGTAGTATAGTTTGATATCAGGTAGCATTATTCCCCCAACTTTATTCTTTTTCAGGTTACTGTGATTATTCAGGGTCTTCTGTGGTTACATAAAATTTGTTTTAATTCTTGTTCTAGTTCTGTGAAATATGTCATTGGAATCTTGAATGGAATTATGTTGAATAAATAGATTGCTTTGTGTAGTATGGACGTTTTAATGATGCTAATTCTTCCTATCCATGAAAATGAATATACTTCCACTTGTATCTTCTTCATTGTCTTTCTTCATTGTCTTACAGTTTTTCAAGCACAGGTCTTTTACTTCCTTGGTTAAATTTATCCCTAGGTATTTTTTTATGCATTTGTAAATGGGATTGTTTTCTTTGTTTCCTTTTGCAATAGTTGACTATTGATGTATAAAAATGCAGCTGATTTCTGGGTATTTATTTCATATCCTGCTACTTAACTGAATTCATTTATCAGTTCTAGTAGTTTTTTGATGGAATCTTTAGGGTGTTCTATATAGAGTATCATGTCATCTGCCATGCTATATAATTTTTAATGGCAATCTGTCATCTCAACCACAGAACATAAATTGAGTTACTATTTTCTATATTCTCCCATTTTAGATGCATAAAAGAGAAGTTACTTTGTTATATACAGTGGATGACTTTAAGGTAGCAGTTCTCAAATTTTTTGGTCTCAGAATCCCTTTATACTGTTAAAAATTAGGAGGACACCAAAGAACCTTTACTTATGTGGCTTATAACTATCAGTATTTATCATTAAAAACTAAAACTGTAAAACTTATTAAATATTCAGTTATTCATTTTTAGAAATAACCATAATAAACTTATTATATATTGGGATAAACAGTGCAATTTTTATGGAAATTAACTGTTTTTCCAACCCGCCGCAATAAAACTTACACTTTTCTAGTGAGAAAGTGTTTCATTTTGTTACATTTTGAAAAATCTCTGCACTGTCTTTTTTACATACCTGTTTCTGTATTGAGTCTTATGTGTGCCGTTTAATTGAAGTATATGAATAAAATACAACTTCATACAAACACATTGTTGAGAAATGAAGGACCTCGTGGACCCTTAAAAATTCTCAGGGTTGTCCAAGAATCATAGGGTCACACTTTGAGAAAACTGCTTTGGGGCAATTAGGGCTTAACCCTTTTGGGGGTTTTGTTTGTTTGTTTTTGAACTATTTTTTTAAAGATTATTTTATTTATATTTTTAGAGAGAGGAGAAGGGAAGGAGAAAGAGAGGGAGAGAAACATCAATGTGTGGTTGCCTTTTGCGCAACCCCCACTGGGGACCTGGCTCACAACCCAGGCATGTACCCTGACTGGGAATTGAACTGGAAACCCTTTGTTTCACAGGCTGGCCCTCAGTCCACTCAACCATACCAGCCAGGGCAGGACTTAATCCTTCATGGAACCCCAGTTGAGAAAAAAAAAAGTTCTCTTTATGAATGACAAAGCATATTATGTAAACTAGAAAATAAAATATAACCTATGGGGAATTTTAGCATCTTATACCCTTTCTTTTTTTCTCTATGCACGTTTAGTTTCTCACCTGTCACCTATAATAGCTAATGAAGGAAGGAACCTTGGAGAATATTGTCTCACAGGCTGGATTCCCAGGAAGAGCAAATGAGTTGCTAAGGGTCATTATGAGACCTAGCTTTGCTAATGCTTCTTGTGTATCACGTCATTGTCCCTGAAATGAAAAACACTAAATCTCTGGCTTGCTTTGTCCCAAAGCGATACATCGGACTCAGGGTTTTTATGGTTCTTATCACCTCTTTCTCAGTGAAGGTTTATGATTTCAGTGTTTTGTAGGGATTTCCTCCCGGAGCCTGTAACATATCATAACTTTTTTATTTATATTCTCTCAGGTAACATGATTTCAAAATTACACTGTGGAGAGAAAAAAAATAGGCAAAGTCCCTCCTTTTCCTAGAGATTTAGAATTAATGATCTGTGATCAAAAAGAAGTGTTTTATACTTCTGCATTAAAAGAGGTTCTTTTTTTGAAAACTGATTATTTCACCTAAATTAGGTTGCTTTTTCAACTAATAAACTTAATGTAACATATATCTTTCAGTGTAATGCAGTGTGAACCAGACTACTTGATATCCTTTAATACATGTTTCATACCTTATTTTTGCCATAAATACTTATTTTGTTTGAAACACTTTTTTCTCCTTTCCACTTAAGACCAGCTCAGGTGTCAACTCTTATGGAGCCTTTCAGATCCCGATGGGATAGCCAATTCCCCTGTAATATTTTACAAATATTTCTGTTACAGTTTTCATTGTGTTCTTGTCATAGTTTTTTGTTCAAGTATCTAACCTCAGGATAAGCATCATGAAGAAAAGTTATCTTATTCAACTTTGTATCTTGTATTCTTGGTTTAAGGAATAATACAGTGTTTGGTAAATTTTATTGAATGACTGAATAAAGCACCTCATTCTGTCTCAGCAGCTTGTAGAAGTTTTGGATGTGTTCAAGAAGTAGCATCTACTAAAAGGCGAGATTGATACAGCAATGAAAATTATGGATGTTTCAGGCACAAATTGCCGTATTGGTTTATTCTAGTGTGTCCAGTTGTTCTCTCCTTAAGATGTTCCCTTAAATAATTGCCCTCCCTTCCCTGGGCTTTTTGAAACTTGAATAAGTCATTCATTTCCCAGTTATTTCTTTGGCAGGTTAACTGTCCATCTCTTCTTTTGATAGAAGCCTTTGTTTTTTCTTAGCAGAGGAGTAAATTGTTTTATACTGTAG